GGCTAGCTGCCAGGTTGCATTGCATGTAATCCCAGCACTGTGGAAGTGGAAGCTGGAGGACCAAGAGTTTGAGACCAGCCTGAGATACTTAGTGATATGTGCCTCAAAAGAAAAACAAAACCCAAACAACCAAGGTGAGCTGGGAGGGGATCAGTGGTAGAACACTTGCTTGTCATGTATCAATTCTTGAGTTCAGGCTCCAGCAGGGACCCCCAGTTGCCCCCTCCCCACCCTCCAATTCTAGGTATAGAGCTTATCTAGGATGCATGAGGCCTTCTAGTATATAAACAATCAATAAAGAAACAAAGAAAAGAAATTAAAAATGTGGAGTTTAATAAGGCCTAAATTAGCAAGCAATTGAGCTGGATAATATCCCGCATAATTTAACACAGATAAACTTAAGACCGCCTTTAAAAAACAAAGCAATTAAACTTAATTACTTAAAGTGGGGCTTTTAGAGGTGGGGTCTTTGCTATGTAAATCTGGCAGGCCTGGAAGTCATTAAGATTGGCCTGCCTCCACTGCAGTGCTGGGATTAAAGAAAGATGCCCATCAGGACCGCTTTTCTTTTCATGAATGTGTACAGAAGCTCTAGCGCATTTACCTTACTACAGTAATACTCCATGAGTGCCGCAGTAACGTAGACATGATGGCGAGTTCTGGCATCCTCTCTTGCTTTTTTAAATATCATTCTTCCAGATTTGATACCTTCTGCTCTCCTTGCAAATTTCATATATTGGATATATACCTATGAGAAAAAAATTATTTGTATTCTACACATTAGGCAGAATATGGCTTGGTGGAAGAGTCGCCATGATGCTCCCACTCCAGACAGACGCAGGTTAAGATCCTCTCTGGTAAGCCAGCTCATGGGCTACACAGAATATTAGAAATGGGTTAGAACAATATGTAAGAGCTAGCCAATAAGAAACTGGACCTAGCCGGGCCAGGCAGTGTTTGAAAGAATACAGTTTCCGTGTAATTATTTCTGGGTATAAACTAGCCATGCGGGCGGCCGGGTGCCGGGGACGCAGCCCTGCCGCTCCTATTTCAACAGATGGCGCCCAGACGTGATGGGCTAAATCCACTTAAAAACCTGAGAGGGCTTAAAAAGGAGAGAGAGAGAATTTAAGACAGCTTTTTGCTGTTTCTGGGTTGCGTGCCGCAAAGAAATTGTCCTGACTCGGCAGCAGGAAAAAACTGGCTGTTTTAAAATGCCGGCTTTCTGGGCTGTGCCGCCATTGTGATCTCTGTCTGGCTCCGGCGGGAGACAGAGCTTATGAATGGAGCATTTGGATTAAAGTGCTACGATTTGTTTGATGGCAACTAGACTGCTGTGTGCCTAAAAGGGGGACATTGTGTGCCGCAGCTCAGAGGCACAAGCAGCTCCGCCATGCTAATGGTGCAATGTGCAAGGATCAGAGGCACGAGCGGCTCCGCCATGTTGGACTGGGCGGGGCCAGCATACAGTACCTGTTTTTGACCTAGGAATGTCACAGCTTAGATTCTTAAGCGCTTAGTGATTTAAAGGCGCAAAACAAAGTGCTCCTGGATAGTAAAAAAGTTACAGATTCACAATAAAACAGATTCAGACACTGTTGGATAAATGTACGTAGGCTTGGGAAAGAGAAGAAAAAGAATATAAAGAATAAAGTTAATGTCTTAAAAAGAAAAAGGGTAAAGTCTTTAAAGAGACAGAGTACAGAAGTACAGATAGTTATAGATTAAGAGAAATAAAGAAAAATAAGCCACGTAAAAATGGAAAATTCACAGAGAGTCTGGATTATGTACATTGTGTTTTCTTTAAAATTTTTGACTGTGAAGGAGCTAAGTACAGAGAGACATTTCATTATATGGGCTGCCAAGCTAAACCAAAATGGATTTCATGAGGGTATTATGATTTCAGAATTTGGGTCTAAGGATATGATGCTTTGGAGAGGGTCTTCTTTTGTTTTTGCAGAGGATGAGACCCTGTGGATTGCATCTATTCCGATTTGGTATGATAGACCACGCCCTCCTGAAAGGTTGCTGTGAACACCCTCAAAAAATTGCTTCGCTCAATTGCCAACTGAGATGAAACTAGCACACAGGTTATATCATGAACAACCTAATTAACGACGCCCCTATTCAGCAGGAAGCAGTTTGGAGAGAAAAAACTACGCCCATGTTCCCAAATATTGTTTATAAATGTTCTTTTACATTTAAAGGGGGATATGATATAGATATGAATAATTTGCATTGGTATGGATTTTATGGTCAATTTTGTTATATGTATATGTATTTTTGATCTTGATTAAGGTATTGTGATTGTGTAGTTCATTTAAAAATGTAATGTATAATTAGGAAATATAGGTTGTTAATGGATAATCATCGCTAATAGTTAAGCTTGTAGTCATGTTAGTTAGATTTTCTAGATATATAGAGATATATTTCAGTTAGATAGGCATTCTTCATATCTTTCAAAGACTGCAGAATATGGCATTTAAAATATTTTAATAACTTAGGACTTTTCATGACAAGGAGACACGTCTGCTCCTGGCAGCACCAGCTACTTCAAGAGGAAGATGGGCATCGAAGAGGATCCTTATGGAGTTGGATAGTCATTTGGGCAAGAAACTGCTCTTGCCTGGACTGTTGCATAAACTGGACACAGAGAACCCTCAGAGAGAGGACTGCTGAACTTGCCTAAAGGTGAGATGGTCTTTCGGGGTTCCTGATTCATGAAAGAGTCTGCGAGACATTCTGCAGGACACAGCAGAAAATGACTGAACTGTCTTTGAAATTTCCTGCTTCATGGAAATGTCTCTGGATACCATGGGCCTGTAGGCCGAAGATGGATGCCCCAACGGTACAGAGGAACTTTGGGTGACTGTCCAGGCAGCGAGATGTCTCTGTCATTTCTAGAGTTTTCTTATTTCTTGTTTACTTAGATAATATTATATCCTTCTGGAGTCTTTGATGGAGTTGAAGAATAAATAGTTATAGTTTTCCTTAGTTATGATAAGAGATAAAATAGATATAAATATTGTAACTGTAATTCTTACTTGATAACTGTTTTGTTATATGTAATTTTACTATGCTAAAGTTAAAGCCTTTCTTTTTTGTTTAAACGGAAAAAGGGGAAATGATGTGGGAATGATTTCTTACTAATAAAGAAACTGCCTTGGCCCATTTTATTGGATAGAAAATTAGGTAGGCGGAGTATACAGAAGAGAATTCTGGGAGAAAGAAGGTTAGAGGAGGAGTCGCCATGATGCTCCCACTCCAGACAGATGCAGGTTAAGATCCTCTCTGGTAAGCCAGCTCATGGGCTACACAGAATATTAGAAATGGGTTAGAACAATATGTAAGAGCTAGCCAATAAGAAACTGGACCTAGCCGGGCCAGGCAGTGTTTGAAAGAATACAGTTTCCGTGTAATTATTTCTGGGTATAAACTAGCCATGCGGGCGGCCAGGTGCCGGGACGCAGCCCTGCCGCTCCTAATTCAACAATATGGCCCTCATAGCATCTAGTACCAGAGAACTGAGTTCTATGCTGTTTCTAGTATAAGAAACTACAGGGTAGAATTATAAGTTACTTTTCCATAGGCATTGGGGATACATGCTAATTTTTATTGAGACATAATCTACATGACACAAAATTCTTTTTTTTGGTTTGTTTGTTTTGATTAGTTTTTCAAGACAGGGCTTCTCTGTATAGTCCTGGCTGTCCTAGAACTAGTTCTACAGACCAGGCTGGCCTCTAACTCACAAATCTGTCTGCTTCTGCCTCCCGAGCACTGGGATGAAAGGTGTGTGCCACCACCACCTGGCATGGTATCTGTTTTTTTTTTTTTTTTTTTTTTTTCAAGACAGGGTTTCTATGTCTATCCCTGGCTGTTCTGGAACTCGATCTGTAGATCACACTAGTCTCAAATTCAGAGATCCTCCTGTTTTTGCCTCCTGCGTGCTGGGATTAAAAGCGTGTGCCACCACTGCCCAGCTTGTTTTTTCTTATATCATCAGATGGTCATACAATAATACTACCAATTCTAGACTATATGAATTAAAGGAGAATTCAACCCCTATCAATATCAAAACAAGTAAACAATCAAACAAGGGCTGAGGGTATGGCTCAGTGGTAAAGGGGTTGCCTAGGTTTGACCACTAGCACCACAAAAAGAAAAATAAAATAAAATTTGGGATCTAGGAAAATGACTCAGTGGTATGTGTACTTGCTGCACAAAGATGAGGACCTGAGTTAGAATCTCCAGAACTCACATAAAACCTAGGAATTGCTGTACATGCCTGTAATCCAGTGTTGAGGGCAGGAACAGATGAACCCAGGAGCTTGCTGGCTAGTCAGCCAGCCTGACTCAAAAGGGGGGTTTCAGGTTCAGTGACTATCTCATAGGGATGAGGTGGAAGTCTAAGGAGGAACATACCTGATGCCAGCTTCTGGCCTCCACTCACATGAATATACACATATACCACATAGCCCCCCACCCTGCCCTAATTTCATAGTAGAGATCCCTTGGCTAGGTATATTCCCAGGTATTTTTTTTAATTGAGGCACCTGTGAGTGTCCATATTTCCCAGATTTCTTCCTCAGCATATCTGTTACTGGTATATAGGAAGGCTATTATTTTTGTATGTTAATTTTGTATCCTTCCACTTTGTTAAAAGTGTATCAGTTCTAAGTGTTTCTGGAGTCTCTAGGTCTCTTATGTGTAGGATCATACATAAGATTCTGTAGGTAAGGACACTTTTAACTTCTTCCTTTGTTAGTTTCAACCTTTTATTTGCTTCTTTTGTTTTGCTGCTCTAGCTAAGGCATCCAACACCATATTGAATAAAAGTGGAAAAAGGAGATCCTCTTGTCTGTTCTGTGACTGCAGTGGAAATGCTTTAAGCACTTCCATATCTATTATGATGTTTGTCATATATATGTTTGCTACATTAACGTGTTTCTGGGGTTGCAAAGATGGCTTAGTGGTTAAGGTGTCTGCCTCTCTTTCAGGACCTGACTATGGGTCTCAACACCACACTGGGTATCTCACAATCACTTTAACTCCAACTCAAATGGATCCAGTGCCCTCTTCTGGCCTCCCAGGTACCTACACTCGTGTGTGTGTGTGTGTGTGTGTGTGTGTGTGTGTGTATGTTTACACAAATACTTAAAATATGTAAGCAAAAAAATTTTTTTTTTTTTGGCTTTTCGAGACAGGGTTTCTCTGTGGTTTTGGAACCTGTCCTGGAACTAGCTCTTGTAGACCAGGCTGGTCTCGAACTCAGAGATCCGCCTGCCTCTGCCTCCTGAGTGCTGAGATTAAAGGCATGCGCCACCACCGCCCGGCTGCAAAAATGTTTCTTAAATTCCCAGTTTCTTAGGACTTTTACAATAAAGGACACTTGATTTGCTTCCTTTTTAAGGAAGTACTTATTTATTAGTGTGCATATGCAGACACATGCATGTGTGGAGGTCAGAGAACAACTGTGGGAGCCGGCTCTCTCCTGACACTGCAGGGCCAGGGGTCACAAGCTGTATGGCTTGGTGACAAGTGTCTGTACTCTCTGAGCCACCACCTCACTCACTGGCTGGCCCTGATCTCTCCTGCTCTTATCCACGCATTTTTCTTCTAATTTGTACTTTACTCTCACTTTGCTTCCTCAGTCACCATATAAATATTGACACTTTTACCTCTAGAACACTATAAACTACATCTCCTCAATCAGTTCCCCAGGGCCACTCTGTCCTAACAGGGAACAGACCGTCTTCTAATGCTGGTTCATACCAGGACTCTTAACCTGTTACTAAAGCTAGGGCATAAACTGCAGTGGACCTGAGTAAAATTAAACAAAAAAGGGGAAAAATAAGGAATAAAAATTGGAGGACACGCCAGGCGGTGGTGGCGCACGCCTTTAATCCCAGCACTCGGGAGGCAGAGGCAGGAGGATCTCTGTGAGTTCGAGACCAGCCTGGTCTACAAAAAAAAAAAAAAAAAATTGGAGAACACAATTGTGTGGTGATGGCACATGTTTTTAATCTCAGCTCTTGGGAGGCAGAGGCAGGTAGATCTCTGTGAAGCCAGCCTGGTCTACAGAGCAAGTTCCAGGACAGCCAGAGCTACATAATAAAACACTGTCTCAAAAAAAAAAAAAACCAATAATAATAATAATAATAATAATTAGAGGACACGAGTAGAGCATAGTGACATACACTTTTAAGCTCAACCCCCCCAGAGTCAAAGGCAGGCAGATCTCTGGAGTTTGTGGCCAGCATGGGCTACATAGCAAATTCAGGCCAACCAAGGGCTCACAGTAAGATATTATCTCTGGGGGAGGGGAGATATATCCACCAACCAATGAGCAAAACACATTAAAAAAAATACAAAACCAAAGTGCTGATGTTAAATGAGACATCCATCTATAGTAACTCTTATCCCCCAAGACTCAGAGAACATTATGGAAGAGGGGCAGAAAGAATATAAAAGTTGAGGGACATAGAAGCCAGGCTAGTGGCACATACCTTTAATCCCAGCATTTGGGAAGCAGAGGCAGGCAGATGTTCAAGATTAACCTAGTCTACATATTGAGTTCCAGGACAGCCAGGGATACATAGTAAGACCCTGCCTAAAAAAAAAAAACAAAGGGGAATGCTGCCTATAACTACCATTACCAGTACAGGATCAAATCAACACAAGCAGTCAGCATTTCAACAGGCAGAACCAACTGGACACAATGGGTTATTAATGTTACTAACAACAAAGAAGCCAGGTGCTGGTGCACACCTTTAATCCCAGCACTCGGGAGGTAGAGGCAGGTGGATCTCCATGAGTTTGAGGCCAGCCTGGTCTACAGTGTGAGTTCTAGGACAGGCTCCAAAGCTACAGAGAAACCCTGTCTCAAAAAACCAAAACAACAACAATAACAAAGAAAGAGAGGAGAGTCAGACAGAAGGGAAGGAGGAACAGGAAGGAAGGAAAAGGAAAGGAGAAGACACAAACGACAATAAGAAGCTGTGTTGGGGGTGCCTGGTGGGAGTGAGCGGGAAGTCGAGGTACATATGGTCAAGATGCATCGATTGCATGTATGAGAGTGCCAAAGAACAGAAGATAGTCTACATCTTTAAAACACAAACAATGAGACAAGTCACTGTGATCATCCACAACCTCACACTTCATCAACACCAGACTAAAATCAATGAGATAGCTAAATGCCAAGATTCCAGAGTCCCACTTTTTAAAAGGATCAACACCCACATAGAAGGTGTCATGAAGTAAGCAGATGAATGAAGTAAGGAAATCAATTCAGATCCTAGACAAGAAACTTAGTAAAGTGGATAGAATATCAATGATTTGGAAGAGAATTGAAAACATGGAAGATAAACTCAGCAAGGAAATTAAGATTCTGAAAAGGAACAAACAGAAAAGCTGAAAATTAAAACAATCAATCAATCAATGAAGCAAAAAATATCATCAACAGATAAGAAAAGCAGCTGGGTGTAGTGGCCCACACTTGTAATCCCAGCACTCAGAAGGCAGAGGCAGGCAGATCTCTGAGTTTGACAGCCTGGTCTACAAACAGGGTTCCAGGACAACCAGGGCTGTTACACAGAGAAACCCTAACGAAATATATATATAATATATATAATCAACACACACACATTATATTTGAGAGAAAGAGAGTGGGGGAAGAGAGAAAAGCAGAAAAAAATTCTGGGATGAAGGATAGTATCAAGACAGAAGTAAATAAAATAGAAACTAAAAGAAAAATACATATAATCAAATAAGCAGATTGTTTTTCTTTTACACTTCTTTATTTTATGTGCATGGTGTTCAGCCTGCAAGTATGGAGGGGGACAACATGCATGTCTGGTGCCTGTAGAGGCCAGAAAAGGGCATCAGGTCCCCTAGAACTGAAGTTCTAGGTGATTGTGAGCTTCCATGTGGGTTCTAGAAATCAAAGCTGGGTCCTCTACAAGGGCAGCTAGTGCATGTAACTGATGAGCTGTGTCTCCAGCCACAAAGAGCTGGTTCTTGAAAATAAAAGTAAACTAATAAATCCCTACCCAAACTAGCCCAAAATGAAAAAGTTCTAAATTAATAAAATTAGATAAGAAAAATGAGATGCTATTGAATAGATTACATACAATAAAGATAGACAATCATTAGGAAATATTTTGAAAACATACCAAAAAAAAAAAAAAAAAAAAAGAACAGGGCAGTGGTGGTGCATGCCTTTAATCCCAGCACTCGGGAGGCAGAGGCAGACGGATTCTAGACCAGCCTGGTCTACAAGAACTAGTTCCAGGACAGGCTCCAAAACTACAGAGAAACCTTGTTTCGAAAAACCAAAAGAAAGTAAGAAAGAAAATTCCAGAAGAAATTACTAAAAACCTAGACACATAAGACCTACGAAAATTAAGAACATATGAACAATAAACTGATTCATAATAGTCAGTGAGGCTGAAGGAAGAATAAAGTCTCCTAACCAAGAAAAGTTCAGGTTTAGATGGATTTACTGCTGAATGTTCCCAAACCTTTAAAGAACTGAAAGCAAGATTCTTCAACCTATTCCACAGAGCCAATGAGGAAAGAACCCTGAAATCAAAAATATAAGGCACAACAGAAAAAAAAATCAACCAAAAACCAACCCTACAGATATAGAACAAATTTCTTGATGAACACACTGCAAAAATTCTCAATAAAATTCTTGCAAGTCAAATTCAAAAACACATAAAATCCCTTTCTATACTATGAATATGAATTACTCTTATTGGTTAATAAAAAGCTGACAGGCTAGTATCTGGGCAGGAAGTTAGGTGGGAAAGCCAAACTGAGAATGATGGGAAGAAGGAGGGTGAAGTCAAGAGAGATGCCAGCCAGTTGCCGAGCAAGCAGGATGTATAAAATATGAGCTAACAAGCCATGAGCCATGTGGCAAATCATAAATAGAAATATGGGTTAATTTAAATGTAAGAGCTTGCTAGTGACAAGTCTGAGCTACCGTCCAGCATTCATAGCCTCTGAGTTGGTTATTTGGGACCAGGCGGTTAGGATGAAATGTCTGTTCACACACAATGATCAAGTTGACTTTATTCTAGAGATGAAAGTTTGGTTCATCACATGTCAACCAGTTAGTGTAATCCAGCACCTAAATACATTTAATGACAAAAAGGACATGATTATCTCAATAGATACAGAAAAGCCTTTGACAAGGTATAAAACTCGTCATCATGAAAACCCTGAAGAAAGCAGGAGTCGAATGCATATATCTCAACATAATGGCTATATGCAAGAAACCTAGAGCCAACATTATCATAAAGGGGGAAAAGAAGGAGTTTCTCTAAAATCGGGAATAAGATTCAGTACTCACTTTCTCCAATGATCAGTCAATATAGTACCTGAAGTCTTAGCTAGAGCAGAAACACAAGCAAAAGAAATAGATTTTAAAAAGGAAAAGTCAAATTATCCCTTACTTGCTGGGTGTGGTGGCGCACGCCTTTAATCCCATCACTCGGGAGGAAGAAGCAGGCGGATCTCTGTGAGTTTGAGGCCAGCCTGATCTACAGAGCTAGTTCCAGGACAGGCACCAAAACTACACAGAGAAACCCAGTCTCAAAAAAAAAAAAAAAAAAAAAAAAAAAAATAAAACAAAACAGAAACAAACAGACTAAATATTCCATGAGAAAACTATTGGATCTGATAAATATTTTCATCAAACTATACAAAAACCAACATAAAAATCTGTACACTAGCAAAATCTTGCTAAGAGATTAGGAACACTAGCCCATTCACAACCACTTTTTAAAAAACAACACAAAATACTTAGGAAGAAACTTAACCAAGGAGGTGAAAGGCTTCTATTATGAAAACTTTTGAAAAAACTGATGTACTGTATTGAAGACACACAAGCAGATGGATAAATGTGTATGTTCATGGCTAGGCAGAATGATGATCTGAAGACAATGGTAATACTGAAAACAATCTATGGAGTCAACACAGATGCCATAAAAATTCCAATATCTTAAGGTTGGGACATGGTTTATGAAGGAAGCTACGTGAGGAAAATTCTGAGAGCTTGTAAGAAAATTCCAAGGAGGAAAGAAAAAAAAAAATCAAGAGTCTTATTTGTTCAAATAGTCTT